AACTGAAGAAAGTACAGATGGCAATGGAGAATGGAGCGTACCAAGGACCCAAGCAGCAGCAAGCAGTAGAGCACCAAGAGGTGGTGGCAGAGGACAAAGAGGTAGAGGCAGGGGTAGAGGAAATGGAAATAATGGAGACAGTGGAACATGGAACAGCTAGGAAAACACAACCACACCTGGAATTAAGGTGGGACTTCTCAATATTTGTGGTGTCGCCAATAAGTTAAATTACCCAGAAACCATGGAATTTATTAAACGATGTGATATAGTGATACTAAATGAGACTAAAACCGATAAAAGTGATGATGAAAGACTGGATAAAGTATTGATGCAACATGGATACAGACTTAAATTGAAAAACCGCACAGTCTTATCAAACAGAAAATTGGGAGGGATTGGAATGGTAGTGAACGAGGACTTATACAATGGAATTAAGTTCCTAGATTCTGATTCTAAATATGTTTTGTGGGCCAATATCCCACACTTGTATATAAATTCAAACAATGACCTACTTCTTGGAGCTGTTTATATCCCTCCATATAAAACTAAATATTCTAAGCTTGAGGCATTCGATGAGATTGAAATTGATATCCATTTACTAAAAAACAATAAAGAATTTCAGATATTCTTGTCAATGATAATGATAACACAATGACTGATAACACGGAATTAACAGATCAATTAGCTATGCTAGATATGTCGACAGAAAGAAACAGCGTCGATCCAAAAGTGGATGGATATGGCACACGATTAATTGAGTTATGCAAAATGAACAAACTATTAATTGCGAATGGAAGGTGTGGACAAGACAAAGGAGTGGGTAAATCTACAACCAGAGAAACATCAGTGATTGACTATGTGATAACCACTATTTCTATAATGAATCTTCTGAAAGATTTCATAATACATGACTATGATGGAATTATATCAGATATACATTGTGGTATAGAATTTACATTAGAGCTACATGTAAATATAAGCGACACTGAAACAGTTACTCCAGCCCCTACTCATATTACCCACAATTCATCACTCTCACCAAGTAATAAACCACGCCCTAGATGGAATAATGAGAAATCTGAAGAATTTCACAACTGTATTGATACATCTACAGTAACATCTTTAACTAGCAGAATATCAAGAGATGAGCTGTCAATAGAGGATGCCACAACTGAAATAAGTAAACTTTTTGAGGAAGCAGCATCATCAACATTTGGAATAACTACAAAGAAACCAAGACAATTAGCTTCAAGATTACCTAAAAAACAATGGTATACACCAGAATGTAGTGACAAAAGAAGAGACTATCAAAGGGCCAAGAGGAAGTTTTATTCAACAAAATCAGATAATACGAAAGACAATTTACTAAAAACAAGGGCAGCATACAAGAAAGAAATACGTAAAGCACAGACTTTATTTAAAAGAAGAAAAATAAAAGAACTAAAAACATTGAAAAGTAACAATAGCAAGGACTATTGGGCGATTATCAAGGAACCTAAGAAAAACAATTGCAAAGCATCAATGGACAGCTTATTACATTTCTTCAAATCTTTTAATTATAAAGAATTGGGTTCGATAGATAATCAGCATTTTAATGAGTCACATCAAATAGATAGTACTTGTTTGGATAATGATATGCTTAATGCTGAAATAACAGCAGATGAAATTAAGTTAATTGTAAAAAAACTAAAAAATGGTAAAAGTGCTGGTATAGATGGCATACTCAATGAATATATCAAATGTACTTTTGACATTCTTTCTAACTTTTATACTGTTCTATTTAACAAAGTTTTGAATTCAGGCAAAGTGCCAGAATCATGGCTAATTGGAATTATTATACCCATTTTTAAGAATAAGGGGAGACAAATTGACCCTGAGAATTACAGAGGCATCACATTATTGTCTTGTTTAGGAAAGCTATTTACAGCAGTATTAAACAAACGTTTGTATTTATTTGTAGCTAAAAACAATTTAATGAATATTAATCAATCTGGCTTAATGCCAAATCAGGGATGTAATGACCAAATATTCAATTTATATAACATTATTGATCTTATGCTTAATATGCAAAAGAAAAAAATATATACGGTGTTTGTAGATTTTAAACAATGTTTCGACAAAATTGATAGAGCAAGTTTGTGGTGCAAATTACTGAATAATGGAATAACTGGAAAAATATTGAATTGTATCAAAGATGTATATTCCCATGCAAAATCATGCATTTCTGTTAATGAAGAAACATCTGAATATTTTCTATGTATGAATGGTTTGAGAACTGGTGAAATTTTATCTCCATTACTATTCTCATTATTTGTAAATGATATGGAAGACTTTATTGTAAATAGCCAAGGTTGTCAATATTTGAAATTGCCTGAATGTATTGATTGCCTTTTTAAGATGTTTATCCTCATGTATGCTGATGACACTGTTATCTTATCAGATACAAAGCAAGGTCTAAAAAGTGGTCTTGATGCGTTAAAATCATATTGCGAGCAAAATAAACTTGTCGTTAATGCTAAAAAGACCAATGTTGTAATATTTTCTAAGAAAAAAAACAAAGAAACATTTAGATTTTTGTATGATGGAGAACAACTCAAAATTGAAGACTCATTCAAGTATTTGGGAGTCTGGTTCTCTTATAATGGGAATTTTCGCAAAAATGTTAATTTATTATTACGAAATGCAGAAAATACTATGTATGGTGTCTTAGGCAGATGTACAGAGATGGGCTTGCCACTCGATATACAATTACATTTATTTGACTCATTAATTTTGCCAATTTTTACTTATGGTTGTGAGGTATGGGGGTGCTCCAAAGCAATGCTCATGTGTGAAAAACTTCATTTAAAATATTGTAAATATATCTTGAGAGTTAAACGAGCAACACCATCGTTTATGATATACAGTGAGTTAGGTAGATACCCTATTGAAGTATCAATAAAAACAAGGATAATTAATTTTTGGAGTAAATTAGTCACAAGTGACACTTTAAGTAGCAAAGTATATAAGGCAATGCTAAAACTATACAAGGAGGGTATTTATAAGTCACAGTGGTTAAGGTGTGTAGAGAATATTTTAAATGAATGTGGTTTTCCAAATATCTGGATATCTCAAAGTTTTGATAGTAGATTTGCACTGAAATTAAGAGTTAAACGCAAACTAAAAGATCAATTTATTCAAAAATGGAATACAAACCTTCAGGAAAGCACATATCATTTATACAAGGCAATTAAGACCAATATTAACTTTGAATCTTATCTCCATCACCCATTGAGCATACGTCTGTACATGACAAAATTTAGGATGTCAAATCATAATTTACCAATAGAAATTGGAAGGTACAATAATATACCAAGACTTTCAAGAATATGTAAACATTGTAACAAATTAGGTGATGAATATCATTTTATACTAGAATGCTTATTATTTAAAGATCAAAGGGAGAAATATTTAAAACCATACTTTCAAAACAGGCCAAATATGTATAAATTAATTGAACTATTTACAAACAAAACATATACAATTCAACTAAGTAAATTTTTACAATGCATTTTGAAAGGATTAAACTGAATAACTGTCATTTGATATTGTATCAATTTTGTATTACATGTATATTGTATATGTATTTATACTCACAGGTGTGGGTAGAAATAAATCTAAACTGAAAACTGAAACTAATAAAATCCTATTATTATTATATGTGTAGTGTATTCTAATAAGATTCACCTGCAATGATTCATGCAAAAGATAGTTGCCAGTCAGTGTAATCAAAAACAGTGTGTAGTTAATAAGTTACTTTTGAAGTTTCAAGTTTTACCACTTGAGATACTGGTGCTGGAATTGTAAATAGTAGTCTTGCTTAAAAGAAGACCCTGTAATCCCCCCCCCCCCCTTTATCCTTCTTTCTTGCTTTTTGTAAAGAGAGTGAAGGTGAGGGGGGGGGGTGGATACAGTCTTTGAGCAAGACTATGTAAATAGGTAATGAACTCGCACTGTTTCCATTTGGCACCTTTTAAGTTGGATCACGGCATTAATGTTTTTGAAATAGGGGTTTGAACCATGCAACCATAGTTTTCTCCTGATGACCATTGTGAATTGTTGTGTTTAAAAGATTATGGCGACGGGTTTCTGAATTGATGTTTACCCTTAGAATTGCTTGTAGCTTTTTTCAATGATTAATGATCAGCATAGGTTACGACACAGTGGGATTTAGTTTAAATACTAGAAGAACTGTAATTGTAGTTTGAAAATATATTAACAGGTTCCATGAATCTAGAAATATTTCCATATCCATATGCTGACAATAAATGAAAAATCTACTTATAGGTCCCCAAAATGCAAAATTAGTTCATATAAAAAGTTATTAATTTATATCAAAAATCATTATTTGCCTTGAACAATATTTTGTGGAATGTGACATACAGTGGTTAGTGAATATAAAATTAAATCCACTAGATCTGCCCACTGCAGGCTTTCTAACATTCTAATAATAAATGCTGACATTCCAGTCCTTACTAGTGATTTACTGGATTAGTCTCGAATTTTGTGAATTTTAGTTAAAGGTGCAACAATGCAGGGGGGCTATTCAATGATCATCGACCAGTGTCAAAATATATTTAAGTTTGGATATTTCATCAAGACTAACATATATTTTTATTATCTAGAAAGAAACCCCACGGATGAACATTATTTCAGCTCATACTCCTCTTGAAACGTGGTGGATCTTAAAAATCTATAAGTGGGACTCCCGGAAGCATTGAACTTAATTTACACTTCTTAATGCTGATATTGATAGTTTATCCATACATTTTAAGAAAATAGGTATGCCAAGGGAAGATGTTAAGCCAAATATTGACCTGATAGCTCAGAAAAAATAAAAATTTCAAAATTTCTCTCTACAGTCCTTGTTGCCCCTTTAATCTTGTCATTCTTGATGGTTGCAAGGTTAAAATGAACAATAATTACACATGACTTAATTGTTCTTTTGGTTTTAATTTCAGGATCTCTTTTGGCTATTTCTGTGCCAGATTTTTACCGTTACGTGTTTGAACTTCCCGCAAAGGAAGATGTACCCAACATTGGAAAAGACATAACATATGCTCCTTGGGGAGAGATGACTCCCAATGCAGATGGCATTATTGAAATATACAGGTATGTTTAGTATTACGATTTTAATTAAAAAAACAAGTTTACAGTCAGGCCTGTAGCCAAAAATTCTTTCAAAATCATGCAGGTTTTCACCATTTATTAGGTGTTTATTGTCAAAGACTTTATTTCAGTTAAAAGAAAAATGTAATAAAGTCTGTGACAATGAACACTAGTAAATGGATTTAATATTACCAGATTATGAACTTATTTAATGTAATCAGGTTTTCACCATTCTGAGCACGTTCCAAGTGTTGGCCATTTTGGGCCAAAGTTGTCAAAAGTGAACCCCCCTGGAATTTTATAAAAAGTGAACCCCCCATTGGCAAATCCTGGCTTTTGGTCTGACAATTTTCAATGATCTCATTTTTCCATGCCATCATTCGATTTGGCCAGTTGTAAATCTTGACTATTTATAGTAAAGGAAACAAACATTGGCATGAAAAGATTGCTTCAGAATATTTTACTGTCTTTATTCCTTCTTGGAGTTAAAATGACTTTGCAAATCTAATAAAATATCAAACATATCCGTGTAACCCTAACAAGATTAGATCTTTATCATTGTTTGCCCCATTTTTGTTGACAATTATGCCTCCAGACTATTACATTGTATATAAATGTGGAGGATAATATATGAACTTTGTTAAAATGAGTGTAACATTTTCAAAATTCTAACACATTTGAACAGTAGGCTTTAGATTTAATAATAAATGCTATGATGTTTAAATATTAATCGATGAAGGACTTGCAACAGAAGTGTTACTCATTTTCATCTCTTTTAGGAGCTCAAGCAAAGGTATCATGGTGCCCCCTGTCTTAGTTGATTTGACCCACGATGAAGTAAAAGACATTGTGATGTCAGGGTATGATGGAACCATCACAGTATTTAATGGTGAAACCCTAGAACTAATTTGGCGAGTGAAATATGCAGGTTATGAGTCATATAGGTGAGGCTTTTGTACTTTTATTGAGACTATTAAACAAGGTTATTATCCCAGTGAACAAAGTATGGAGGGATAAAGAGAAGCCGTTCATCCATTTGTGTGTCCCTACGGACTCTCATTTCATCTATGCAGTCCATAACTCAAATACCAGTATACAGAATTGGTTGAAATTTTATGGGTATAAAGACATCTGGTCAAGGAAGAATATGGCCACTCAATTAAAATTGGCAGCAATGATTATCTGATAACTGTTGGGAAGATTTGGTTCAACTTTTAGTGCTCATGCTTGGGGACAATAGGACCTCTGCTCTTTCTGCCTGGTTATATCAGAAATATGTTCAGACTGATTAATGATTTGCTTAAACGATTTTATATTCCACCCATATAGCTCAGCGGTAGCGTCGGTACCTCTTATGCAATAGGTCCCAGATTCGATTATAGTCCATCCATATAGCTCAGCGGTAGTGCAGGTACCTCTTATGCAACAGGTCCCAGATTCAATCCACAGTTCAGGCAAGACTTAATTTGCTTGTTTGCGTGGTCCACAACTCGTACATAAGGCTGTGTTGTATACTTGTATGTCTATGTTCATGTATGAGTGCACATAAAAGAACACAGGGCTCCTTCAAGGAGGGGTTTCTAGGTCTATCTTCCAGGATAATTATGTTAATTTTGATAGTATATATACGGGATATACCCATGAACTATTGCTCACCAGCACTGATGGTAAACAAAATACAACACAATTTATAATTCATATATGAATAGTGAACTTTGTATATTTCAGCTCTCCTGCGCCTGGGTTCTTTAATGATGACAGTGTGCTAGACTTGATGGTATATCTCAGTCAAGGAACCTGGCCAGGCTATAACCATTCATTGGTGAGATCACAAATTTACTAATATTTCGATTTTATGTCTCCGCCAAGAAGTTTTGACGTTCTGTTAAAACCACATTTTGTAACTTATGTAGTGTTGGCAATTTGTTTGAACATTTGTAACACTTGTTACACTCTTGTGACTTGTAATTGCAACCATTTGTCACATTAATGTCATGATATTTTCTTGTTTAGGCAAAAGTGATTGAAACAGTTTTTGATTCAGCGTAAGATTGAGAGTGTATAGAACCATATAATTGTGCCCTCTTAAGCTACATATGCATACATACTTGAGAACCCTATATCTAAGATTCAACATGCATAAGGGTTATGTACTTAAGGGTTTTGGATACAGGTTTTATCCAGAGGGAAATATGTATATTTCTCGAGGGACCACAGGCGTAGAGGGAGATACACATATTTCCTGAGGAATAAACCCTCAAAACTGATCATACATAACATTTGTATTCCATACCACTTAGGGTTTTGGTATAATTCTACCCTTTACAATTCCAAATTTCTAGATTTTTTTAGCATAACTTCAATTTAAAATTTTTAATTTAAACTTCCTTTTTTAACAAAACAGTAAAAAATACAAAATATAAAATGGGATACAAAAAGTAAATGTATCAATGTGCTTTAATTGTTTAGGCTGTTGTACTTGATGGGAAAACAGGTGAAACCTTATGGTCGCTAGTGACTACAATGTATGAGATGTCCTCCCCACTTGCTCTACATACAAAATATCCTAACAGAGATGCCTATGTATTCAGAGTGCAGGGACGTCTTGGAAAATATGTCCCAGATATCAATGGAGTAATTCATGGGATACAACCTCAAAGAATAGTTAGTGTATATCTTTTAGATTGCAACACAAGAACTATTTAAATATCGCACTTAGGATGCATGTCACACCAGCTCATATGTTATCTATAATTTTATCATAAACATTTTTTTGATTGTTTTTTCTGTTGGCTATGTACCTTTACGTTTGTTTGTTTTTAGTAATGGCTTTTATAAAAGTAATCCCAAAAATACATTTCCTAGTCAGAATTGATAATTTGAGAGTTTTTGTACGTACCTGTACTATGAAAATCCACATGACACATTATACTTTCAGATCCACAGACGAAAAAAGTCTGTGCCTCAAAAATACAACAACAAGAAGAACTACAAAGATGATAAAATAACTAAAGAAGAAATAAATGACTTGTTAGATAATGATATATTTTATAATACAAACAAAAAACAGTTTGATGCAGTGCAACAGACAGGTTTTAGAGCATCATCTATGCTGAGAAAAAGACAAGGTTAGAGTTCTTGTTTTGCACTTCACTCTTTTCTGTTTTTTTACTTTATTTTTCTGTATTTATTGCACAGCAGGCCCGTAGCCAGGATTTTCCCAGATTTGCCCGTAGCCAGGATTTGTTCAGTTTTCCAAAATTTCCAGTTGGGGTTCACATTTGACAATTTTGGCCCAAATATGGCTAAAATTACTTGAGAAGTGCTCAAAATGGTGAAAAACTGCATGATTTTGAAAGAATTTTTGGCCAGGGGGGTTCGCCCAAACCCTGCGAACCCCCTGGCTACGGGCCTGTACAGGGTTGTATCGACACTTTGATTTCTGAGTTTGGATCTTGATCACACTTTTTCAAACTATTAACAATTAATGTCTTGTGCTCTCTGTCAAAAACCTGATGGATACCTGCTTACACAGCCACCTTAGCTCAGGCTTTAGTAGCTCATCCATTGGTCATCTAGAAGGGCACGCTCAGGTCATTACACTATTTTAATATCTTCATTATCATAAATGTTTCTCAATCATATTTTTAAACTACGCAGGCCCATAGCCAGGGGGTTCGAAGGGTTCAAGCATCTTTCAAAATCATGAAGGTTTTCACCATTCTGAGCACTTTTTAAGTGATATTGGCCATTTTTGGACCAAAATTTCAGAAGTGAACTCCCCTGGAATTTTTCAAAAAGTGAACCCCCCTTGGCAAATCCTAGCTACGGGCCTGCTACATATATTTTTTGCATTATATGTTCCTTCATCAAACTGAGTTCATTTAGGTATACCTTCATTTACTTATTTTATGATAGAATGTCTGTTTTGTTTGTATGATTTATTTGTTTGTTGAAATGTTTGTTTGTTTATGTGATTTTGTGGTTTGTTGATATGAAGTCTGTAGTTTGATTATATAAAGAATTGTTTGTTGGTGTAATGTGTGTCTTTTTCTTAGCTAGTTCGATGTGATATTTGCTTGACATAAGTGTTGTCTGTTTGTTTTAGCGGATGATCTCTCACGTACTTATCAGCCTGCCCCATCAAATCAGGAATCTGAAAATGTAAATCAAGGTGAGAACCTATACGCCATCTATATGATCATTTGCTGATTCTATACTATGTAGCATGTTAGAAAATTTTGTTTGATTAAGATGCCACATTATTACCATATCGCTCAAATAACTTGAATGAATTTCTTATTGTCCTACTGTATTGTTTCATTGCAGGGGTTTCACTAAAATTTCTTAAAACAGGCTAAGTAAATTAAAAACAACAGGTAAAATTATTGGAAATCAGAAATTCAACATGGAAACATTGAAAAGATCCCTAAAACAACAGGCGATTTTGTGAAAATGACTGGTGAATATCGCCTGTTGCCTGCTGCTAATGAAACCCCTGCATTGTCTATATATGTAGAAATGTACATCACAGTTCTACTAAGTCAGTCTATTTGAACGATTTTTGGCCCACCCTGTAATTTCGCTCAATGATGCCATTCTCTTTGATAATTCACCTTTTAGTGCTTGTGCCTGTATATGTACTTGTACTTGCTAGCAGGACAAGAGTCTACCAGTAATAAAGCTGAACATCTACGATGTACAGATGACCTTCAAGTGTTTGACACTGAGATATTTATAATGGACCGCACCACAATGTCAGCACCTATACAATTGTTCAGTATGGGGGCCAACAAGTTAAACTATAGTGAGTATCCAAGGTGATCTATGACACACTAAAGTAATGAATATTCAAATTGTGTCTCAGCCAATCAGCTTAGAGCATTTCAGTGCTTTAATTTAAGGTATATGGTCAACTGAGCAGAAACATTAATTTACAGTGCATTATGGTCTCATAATGAACTGAGCAGTGTCATTATTGGTGAAAGAGTGAAGTCAGCACAGTGCATTATGGTTTCATAAAGAACTGGACAATGTCATTTTTTAAAAAAGAGTGGTAGTTTATTTGAATTGCAATAAAGAGAGTTTATCATTCTTTATTGAATTTGAAACCAGTCATGCATGACTGTACTAACCCATCCTGATAATGCACTTGGGATCCGCCCCTTTTGCATTATGTGTACAGGTTAGTACATGCACCTGTGCTTTTAAATTTCTAATGATAAATGATTCTTTATTCCTTAAATAATGAACAGTAAACAAGCAACCTGATTGGTTGAGAGTATTCAGCCATGGTATAAATTTGAATAAACCTGAACAATGAAAGTGTTATCTCTTGAAAGTCATACTTTCCCACTTGTGAGATATACTTTCCTCAGAATAAAAAAAGGTACCCTCTATTGTAAAAAATCATTTTTATATTTCAGCTATAACTAAGGATGACTGGAAGAAGATATCAGAAAATATTAATCATGAACGTGGCAAAGATGGAGGTAGTTCACAACAGTCATTGTACGAGGACAGGGAAGAGGCACAGGTCTGTGTTGTGCTGAAACCAACAGAAATGTCAACTGGTATGTTTTTAGACGACTACTTTTTCACTCCAGTAATGAATTATGAAATTGATGTACAGTATTAAAATTTTGATTGAGACAAAGTATGTTGGTAGTGTCCATCCTCCCAACTTAGGCCTCCGGAACTCATACCCACTTCTTCTAGGAGGAGGAGAAGGAGAAGGAGGAGGAGGAAATAGGGATGAGGATGGAATGAGGAGGAGAAGGAGAAGGAGGAGGAAATAGGGATGAGGATGGAATGAGGAGGGAATGAGGAGAAGGAGGAGGAGGAGGAAATAGGGATGAGGAGGGAATGAGGAGGAGGAGGAAATAGGGATGAGGAGGGAATGAGGAGAAGGAGGAGGAGGAAATAGGGATGAGGAGGGAATGAGGAGGAGAAGGAGGAGGAAGAGGAAGGAGGTACGAGTTCTGGAGGCCTGTGTTCATCGGAGGATGGTAGTATCCAATATGCAATGTATTTACATATTTTCCTATTTTTTGAATTTTATATCACCACCAAGAAATGGCGACATACTGATTCTCAGTGTATTTGGGACAATCATTAGGTGTAACGAATTGTTACACTTTTGTAAAAAAAATTTATTGTTATTTTAATTGCACATACAAAATTATGAATAAAGTAGTGCTAGAATAGTTACTGTTACACTATACAGTTCTTATATTTTGATTTCAGGTGCTATAGGGGATCTAGATGGGGATGGGACATTAGACATGGTTGCTGTTTATAATCGTGCAGGGCAAATAAGAGACCCTAAAACCGAAAGCTATTTGGCTATGAAATTTACAATAGCTATAGCTAAGGTTAACCTCGAAGATAAAGTCTCCAAGAATAAAGCTATAAAAGTTGATGCTAATATTAATAAAAATTTACATGCCTGGAGTACAGAACAGGGGTTAGAAAAAGTGAAGTTTTTGCCCCCTAGTGAGCAACCTTGGATGGCATATATGGGGAATACGGGTGATAGCATATATTAACAAAGCCATGTGGTGGAATTTAAGTGGAATGAGGTGAAGTCAAGTAAACAAGTGACTATTAACAGAAACTTTGTAAAGTTAAGAATTCGTAAAATCCATTTTTCTCTAACTGTGACGCCATTATATTCATGGTTACAACAATTGATTTACAAATTCGTAACTTTACGAATTTTCTGTTAATGACCCCCAAGCAATTATATTTCAACTCTGAAAACATATTTTTCAACAAACCATATACTAGATAGTACATGAAATTCAAGAAATCCATGCTTGCTTGCTAGTCAATTGTGTATATATTAAGTGCAATAACAGATGATTTTAAATAATACTCATGAATACAGTTTAATTTTTTTCAACTACATGTAGATCAATGATTCTTGAATGACAAAACAATTAGTCAAATCATGTTCTATTCTAGTATACTAAATACTGCAATATAAATGCCATATTTTATTTTTGAATCTTGTACATACAGTATGTACACCAGGAAATGTTAAGTGATTGTAGATATATGAGTCCAACAGTAAATGTAGCTATGTAGTTCCATGTATCATGTAAATAATGTAAACTGGAGAAGTTAAGCTACACATATTTAAGAGAACTTGTCAGTGAATATACAATATTATTATCCCATGGATAACTGCCCCTCAATCTGTTTGGACCTAATTACAACAATTCTCCTTGTGCAACCAGGCCCGTTGCCAGGGAGGGGTTTGCAGGGTTCGGGCGACCCCCCCCCCCTGGCCAAAAATTCTTTCAAAATCATGCAGTTTTTCACCATTTTGAGCACTTCTCAAGTGATTTAAGTCATATTTGGGCCACAGTTGTCAAATGTGAACCCCACTGGAAATTTTTGAAAACTGAACCCCCCCTTGGCAAATCCTGGCTACGGGTCTGGCAACTGTACAATTGCGTAGTAAATATGATGTACAGTAATCCCTGTAGGACCATAATTCTATGGGCTCTTCAGAGATATATAATTCGTACAAGTTCTCTTAAAAACTGTTGCTTGATTTCCCTATTGTAGTAATGATGTTTGGACCTGTCCCAGGAGAGGACTTCATTGTAGTCTAGCATTTAGTTAATAGTGTAGTATTGTCTTGAGTCAAGACAGCCTAGTTTGTACATAGACTTATGTGTCATGTTTTGATACAATTGTCAGTAAAAGAAATATATTGAAATCCGAGATTGTGATATTTTACCCATTTAGATATTACTCAAGAATATCCCGACCCTACAATGTCTATGAGGCTATCATAGTTGTTCCTTGATAGCATATACAAGGTTATTCATTCTCAATTAGCTTTGATAATTTGTCTTCACCAAGTTGATGACTTATTTCAATAAAGAAACATTAAGCTCATAAAGAATGGAAGATCTGAATTTTTTTCACATGACTGCATTTTGCCATATTTTCAGCTTTTTTCATGACAAAATAGAGAAAAACGCAGTAGTCACAGTGGTCATTCTGTATATTGTATGTAATATTGTATGTACAGTATATTGTATGTAATATATGATATAATCATAAGTGTGTGGAGCAAATGAGTGAGTATATGTATCATATACTCACTGTAGTTGTATATGATCAGTGTCTACCTTTTTTGTAATAAACATTACTTTCAAGCATGTTGTACTACTTTACATAGGATTTACACACATGAACACCTTGACAACGACAACATCAAATTCCGTTGTCACAAATGGATGGGTGTTCTGGTGCCTAACGTAGCTTTGTTACAAATATTTAGGACAATATGGATATGTATCCTATGCCAAGTAGAGTTTTAGGGAGATAAGTTGGTAAGATATATCCCGTATCCTGATTTTGAGGTTTCCATATCCAGAACCTCCATATCTCCCGCCATATCTCCCGCTTCGGTGCATATCTTCTCGCTTCCGGTAAGTAGTGGAAATGCAATAAAATGACTTTGCATATGAATACTTTGTTTATTTTTACACCTTGTACCATTGAAATGGCCATATGCCCCTGAAAACTCTACTTGGTATAGGATAAAGCAGTTATGTACGGTCGGTTTGGATATTGGGTTCATCCCTCGTGAGATATGCACATCTACCTTCGGTCACTACGGTCCCTCAGGTAAATATGCATATCTCCCTCTGGATAAACCCCATATCCAAAACCTCCCAGTACATAACCCTTATTTATAAATTTTATTTCAACTTGTTATATTGTTTTAAATTAGAATGTGTCTCATCTTATTGGAGACCTGACTATGCTCTTGCTCAGAGATACACATAAAATGTATATGTTTCGAAAATGTTAGGTACACTGGTGGATCAAGAAGCTAATAATGGGTCAGAAAAAATTTCCATAAGGCTGAAAAGTTCCATAAGGACCCATGCCCCCCCCCTCCCCTGGATCCGCCAGTGAGTTAGTATTTAAACATTTTGCAATTAACACTATTACTGGTTTGAAATATTCAAAGGGTACATTAAAACCTGTCTAATCCAAAGGCAACTGGCACTGTTAAAAAGATTTTTGTTTAGCAGTTGTTCACATTTCAAAGTTTCTCAATATGTGAATCAATGGGAAATAAAATCAGGACCAAGAAAAAGTCTTCACATTTAAAGCTGTTTAGATTATAGAGGCGTTCGGATAAACAGGTTTTAATGTACTTGCTCAAAGATATGTGTATTTACAGGTGCCAAAATATAACTAAGTCTAATTTTTTTATACAACCAGTCCAAATAAAGCATCTATTACTTACACTCTAGTGGATGCAAAGGTTTTGAACTTTTGAATTTTCATGCTAATAATAAAAAGACAATTTAAAAAAATGATCCATTATTTGCAGCATTGATAGACTTTGAAAACTTTTTTATAACTATTTTTAAATTTTAAACTATTTTTATAAATTTCAATGTTTGAAATTTTTTATTTTTGTGGAAGATGCTAGGTTGAACCACTTACAAATTCATAGTGAGAAATTTATAGTATGTTAATATATCAGATTTAGAGTGGTCACACTTTGACCAATAGCGTGCTTCACTGACAATGAGCTATTTAGATGATATTTGTTTCGGCCAATCAAACAAGGGCAAGAATTCTCTCCTGTTCTCATGAAGAGCATTTTATATGCCACTTGTCTGTTTATATATGTACATGTAATATTGCTTTACATTTATTGCAAAGAATGGTGTCGAATATAGTTGTGGATGAACAATGTAATTTTGTTAGAGGGAAGGGGTAAATGATGATTTCATTAATGAATAATTTTCAAATTATGATGTATTTAATCAAAATGAAATTAACCTTATTTTTCCACAGCTATCCACATTTGAACACCATGTCTGACATTTTTTGAAAATAAGAGCAGGTGTCCTAAAAACATGGGATAAAACAGATTGCATGGGTCATGGGTACTTGCATTATGAATGTACATGTATATATTTATCCCAATCGAACAAAGTTCAGTGGGATATAGAGAATGGGCCTGTCCATCCTTCCATCAGTACATCTATCTGGTTGTACGTCTGTCTGAGCAAATACTGCTGGCCCACTGTCATTTATATGTATATGCCCCATGTGATTACACGTTCTGCTTGAAAGCTGATTTTCAAAATGGCCACCAATTTCAAAATGGTGGCCATTTTAGTGTCATTTTTACAGCATTTTAGGTACAACATATAAAACTGCAATATAAAAATATCAGGTTTTAATGCCAAAAAATGTATAGGATATGAATCAAGTTTAAATTTATTTATTTTTAAAAGAACAACATCGTGGCCATCTTGAAAATGGTGGCAGTTACAAGCAATTTAACGATTTTTGCTGTAACTGGAAAAGTAGTGGAGCGATTTTTTTCATATTTGATATGTGAATTTTCATAAGCATGATACACTGCCTTATCACAATTTGGCAAGTACAGTCATTTTGAAAAATGGTCAACATTTTTACATGTTTTATTTTATTTTACTTTTTCACATTAACTCAAAAAGTAGTGGAGTGATTTCGTTCATATTTGATATGTGAATTCTCATCAGCATGATACACTTTCTTCTGACAACTTGACTAGTTATTTTATGTTTTATACCACTTAACTGGAAAAGTAATTGAGCGATTTTGTTAAAAGTTTATATGTGACTACTTAGAAGCATATTACATGTTCTTGTATGACACTTTAAAATATGGTCACCATTTTTACATGTGGTATTTTATGTTTTTTTCTAAAAAAAATAAATCAAAGAACAAATTTTGTTCACATTTATTTGTTTTTGTTCACACAAGTTTTAAATGTGAATACTTCTAAGCATATTACACTCTCATTGGCAAATTTGGCTAATAGGGGGCCATTGTCAAAAATTACAGCCATGGCTGTTCAATGGGATTTGCTACGCCTTGGCGTTGCTGTTATCTTGTTATAACATTATCCAGATTTTTCATTTACAATATGAATATTTTTTAGTGATTTCTATTTCAATTATTGTGATATATTGTCCAACCGATTTCTTATATTATTTTAATTATAATGGGAAATCAAAAAATAATATTGTGTAAGTGCCACTCAGAATAATCCACTTCATCTATTTTTTATAATTATTTTTGTAAAGTTGATGATATTTCAATCATTCCACAGTATGGGAGTATTTGCCCCTTATTGCACCCCTTCGTTTACTTATTTGTTATCCCCACATAAGCGAAATATTTGCATTTGAACATTCCCCATAATAGCCCTGAAGTTCAAATTGATAAGTACAATAAGGGTAAGAAGAAATTGGGTGTCACCAAGTAGATACAATTGTATCATTTCAATATGATAAAATCAATTGATTGTACCTAAAATCTCTTGATATTAATCTTTGAATAACACCCTTGGTATACGCAGCTAACGAAAATTGACCGGTACGGGTCAAAAGCTGGACCGGTACGGGTTAAAGGTTTTATTTGAATTTAAAACAGCCATAACTTGCTCAATATTGATTTCCTCGTGTCTAATTTGAAATATATGATGCCTCCCGATGCTTTCAAGTACCCCGATTTTTTACAGATTTTTAAACGGACCAAAACTCTCTAAATGCGCATTTATGCTCTTTTCTCTCGAGAACGACTTTCTCATTTTCACCTAACTTTTTTTTTTAGCATGTCCCGAACCGGTCCGTCTTCTCGCTGCAAGCAGGAGGAAATTCTTTGTCACAAAGTTTGGCATTTTTTATAAAATCAAACGCGCGTCATAGAAACTCACAAGATGTAAATAGCATGTCATTTACATCATACCTTGATGGGGAAAAATAGATCGTATATGTTAGAAGTACTAAATAAAAGTTATCGTGAAAATGAGACAGTCGTTCTCGAGTTATGGCTGTTTTAAATTCAAATAAAACCGTTAACCCGTACCGGTCCAGCTTTTGACCCGTACCGGTCAATTTTCGTTAGCTGCGTATACCAACGGGAGTGTGATAGGACTGGCAAGTTGATTTTAGTGTGACAGGGCAGGCAAGTTGATGATTTTAGTGTGGGCACTCACTAAAAAGCGCACTGTCCTTATTACGAAACATAAGATTGCAAAATTAACAGTGAAGAAGCATGTACTCTATAACCATTTTTGTGTATTATCACTTTTTGTAGAAACTTTAAAGAATCTGCAAATAAATCAGACTTATATTTGAAAACATGACATGTAATTGTTGTATGAGAACCTGAACTAATGCCTTAATATGATTATAAACCCCTACAGTAAAAACAGATGTACAATAGAAATCCTTGAGTTAAAGTGGGAATTTAAAGTAATGGTTGTTAACAGAGATCACTGATTATAAGTTTTACATCAATTTATTATTCTTTATTAATTAATTATTAATAAAATTATGGTTCTCCTGCGGCAGGCTCGCAACAGCAGATTTCAGGAAGGTCGTTAAAGACTTGTGGTACACCATTCATATCGTCCTCACAGCACAATGCCCGCTCTGGATCGTTCTCCCAAGCTCGTTCGGCTTCACTCTCGACACTGTTGATAACGTACTGGTTTCCGCCCACACTCGAATACCAGATACCATCTCTGCAGCAGCCGGTTCCGCTGGTGCATGCGTAGTTGGTTGTCTCAGCTCCGCACACAACGTCCATGCAGGCCATCACGTTGAAGGGCAAATCACATGACTTGATGGCATCGTTCCAAACACTTGGTGGCATGCAAGCAACAATATCGGTTCTAAAATTAAAAGTTCTAGGTAAATTAAAGAAGATTTCGATATGATATTTGGAGTTCTCATAGTAATTCTAGTCCCCTGCATGGACCCCACAGACTGATTGAATGTAAACTACGTGTTTTTGTCGGAGGATGTGCTGTCATAAATAATCATTGTTCAGTATGGACTCGTACTACATACCCGGTGCCGTTGGCATAGCATTGTAGGTACGTACAACAGTCGCCATCGTTGCTAAAGTAATTCAGTTTTGGATCCGTACATGGGGCAACTCTTGCTATAAGAAAAAATAATACTTGACTTCGAAGTTTGCATTTAGGTATATACACCCAATAAAGAAAGATACCGTTAGTAAAAAATTGCGCTCTATAATACATTATTTGTCCCTTGAATTGTCATTAACGTTATTCATAACGTAATATTCATAAATTATACTCCCTCTATTGGGAACCGGAATTACTCCCCTGAAACATGTGTTACACTCTGGTCTGTGTGCGATTCAAACAATTTCATCCAAATATTTTTATTTTCAAAATATTAAGCTTGTATTCGCGAATGCAACTTTCGGCTACCGGATTAACCTACTATTTTATGGGTATTTAATTATGAATAGTACCTGCCAATATTCCATTCATATTTAAATGAGATGGTCATAAAATAGTATGTTAATCCGGCAGCTGACAGCCGAATGTTGCATTCGCGAATACAAGCTGATTCAAACATAAACATGCTTTGACAGGCTTTCTTTTCTACTGTCAAACTCACAGAGGTGATGAATGTCCGTGGTTTAATCGTAGCGAAGAATACAAAGAAATTTGTATTTGTGATTATTGTTATAATATGAAATAAAGAAATAAAATATAAAAAATACAAAGAAGCTCACGTTCATTTGGCTCGCAGCAACAATCCGAGAGACTGAATACTTCTCCGGGTGGGCAGACATTGTTCTTAATGTCGCCTTCTCTTCTGTATTCTGTGTCGCTTATCATAGTATAAACGGGTTTTCTGCCTGCTACACAACACTCACTGTTTCCCAGGCCCCCGCATTCTTCTGTGGTTCTTGATGGCACTGCATTAATACGAGGCATGATTTAAAGTATGCTGCCAATGAGGAACCATGCCCGAAGACAGTAGTAAAAGTTATTGAATGATTTGAAGTGCAATACAGGATATATTCTGCTCGAGAAATTCCGTATTGAAACGAGACGAAGTCGAGTGCCAATACAGAATATCGAGACATTATATATCCTGTATTGCACTTCAAATCATTCAATAACGTTTTTATCGTATTATCTTCTGTATTGCTGATAATGTCCCATCCGTACCAATATTTTCTGTATTGCGACGGAGATGATCAATGGGGACGATCTCAATAGCAATACAGCTTGGTACAGTACAAGAACTTACCAATCAGAAGGCTTCATTTTACATATCATACGATAAATTCTGATACTCATCGCATCTTTTCGCCTTCTACAAATGTGTATATCTTCTAGCCAAATAGAAGGGTGGTAACTAATATTGCCCAGCTCTGGGTACTAGAAATGATTTTGCAATTATCAAGGTAAAGATCTATTCTCGGGGAGCTCAAAATGTGGTTTGATGAAGGTTCAAATATGTCATGAATGGTACAGTGACTGTTAGCTTTGAATGCACTGGCTCAGGGTTGTCTCAATGCCACTCCTGATCTCGTCAATAGAACAACGTATTCCTTAAAAAAAACAAATGATTTAGGCTACTCAAGCTACCCTTAGTCTTGTCAAAGGGGCTTGTAGCTAGACTACCATCCTGATAAAGAGAAAGAGTCTGGACATTAGCTACCCCATAATCTGTATAGTATGATTTGTTTTCAAAGGTAGCAAATAAAATTCCAGGCTTTCAGGAATTTTCTGACAATGATAAATTCAATACATTGATGTCCGATGATAGGATTTTTATATATGTGGCAAAAGCCTGTGGCCAAATGCTGAAGATTAGGGAACATCACCTGTTTAGGTAATGTCCCCAGTGTCCTATAGTCCGTTATCGGTCTGGGGTTAATTGTATAATTGTATATTTTAGTGATATTTTATATATGATGTAATTGTTTTATACATGTATTTATTATATAACCCATGACACTTTAATAAAATCTTACAATACAATACAATACAATAGTATAATACGTAATGATGAATGAGAAAGTACCTGTATACGTTGGGTCAGTACTTACCGATACAGTCCTCTGCTGGAGTACAGCCGTCTACGTATTTAGGTTCGTCACAGACCTTCAACTCATCATTCCAGGCGGTACCTCCCATACATGATCCCTTGTAAGCAGTTTTGTTGGTTGCGCCGTCGCAGACAAAGAAACTACAGCAATCCCCGCCTTTGCTTTGACCATCAATATAACCGCCATCTGCCACACACTCCTCTGTCAAGATAAAAAGAGTGTACGTACACTATGTAGCGACTCCACTCGGTCGTTTTCCAATTCTAACTTTCTTAATTAAATATCATCTTGAAAATCTAAATTTTGCTTTCTTCATATTACAAATTACATTTTTAAGGCCTCCTAAATCAAAATTTGTAAAATTGGATGTTATGACGTCAAAATGAGAGGACAACAGACTTCTAAATTGTGAATCTTATTTTATAATCTTTACAATTGAAAAGTTTAGTCATACGACCCTGATGTTATTACCTGGAAAAACATCGATTGCTTCTTCTATCTGCCCATAGGCGAGAGCGAAAAGGAGTATCAACATATACATGCTGAAAAATAAATGAAACCGTAAACAAAATATTTTATTGATGCAGGATTTACCAGGATGATTTTTTATACAATACATGTATAGAGGAAAGATATCCTACAAGTTCTGAGTGATATAATTCTCAGATGTCTATATACGATATAAAATGGATACGGAATTATATCACCAGTAAAATATATGATACGATGATGGGCAAAACCGTTACGATTTTTCAATCAACGGTGTACCCTGCGCGCAGAGTTTAGTTAAAAACTACCGAAGACTGAAGTCGAACGAATGCAAAGGGTGAACGCTGCGTGGGGCTGGGCCATTTCTTTGTTCATTTTAACCTTTAAATGAGTTAGTAAAATTGAAAAAAGTTACTTCGGTCCAAAGCCTTCTCTATATTCCGGCTTTGAGGAGGAAGATTGAGCTGCCTTAGTATTATAAATATTGTAAATCATTGTGTCACACGCACAGTAAATATGGCATAATAATATAAAATATACCTTTATGTATAGATTTGAAGAACATCAGCTCACATCCCCGTCTGAATCTATTGTTATATTTGATTTCTTTAAGCGAGAATAATTTCAAATGTTATTCACGTCCAGAACCGGAAGCCATTTTTAGCTACAGCGAGAAAATTTCACCATGTGTCAAAACTCCGAAATGAAATTTTGAAATATCTAAATCCAGACAAGCAACGCTTCATCCTAAATATGATTAATATTCTTAAAAATATTTATAAAATTTATTAAAAATGAGTTCTAGGTGCGTGTAGGTGCGTGTAGCACAGTACATACGAAATCAATGAAGTTTCGTCTAGCTGTAAGCTAGAGACTCGAGTAAGAAAAAAGTATTACAGGGTCAAGGAGCTAGTTTGTGTCATCGTTGCTCCATGTAATGTACATAGATTATTTAAAGCATAGGACATTCTGCGCCAAATACCCATTTTGGCAGTGCATTGGATGTTATAAAAAATAAAATGTATTGTAGGATTTGGATATGTGTAATATCACGATAAAGTCTGACGAGGGCCTGATTGGATTATCCCATGACCATTCCGGTCGAATCATTTATCTTGAATTTGAAGCGTTTTTCTCTCATTTCCATTTTTTTAATCATTTTCAAAAGAACTCTACTTGGTATTTTACTTCTTTAGTTCATGCAGTTGATATCTAGTGCCGATACCACTCATAGCTCAATAAGAAAAAAACGTACTCTCAAATTTTGCTCTCAAATGATTGATGATTTATATTATGTAATTAAATGTATGATAGTGTAATTAAGACAAATTACAAATCGCACTAGGTGTCGCAAAACAAGAATATATTTTGCTTTATTGACATGAAGTGATGGTCGGTATAAAAAAGAAATGTACGCGTCCTATGATTTATGAGTAATACGTTTTTATAAACGAATTGATATTGATATCTGCACGGGCGAGCGTAGTAAACCATGAGATGTTCATTTTATTATCAAAAAGTAAGATGATGTATATTAACTTCGTTTTGAATCAAGTAGCAAAAATCCGAGTTCAAGAATTTAGTTTTAAATGAATCAACGATTTTTCGAACAAAATCCCTTCAAAGACCAATTTTTCAAATTAAAAAAGATTTCACATCGAGGTTTTCAAGCAAAAAAGTATTAAGTGCACTTTTATTACTTTTGAGAAAATCGAGTTTAAAGTTTTTGAATTAAAAAAAATTTCACATAATTATCACATTTTGATAAGCATTTTGTAAAACAACAATATAAGCTTAAGTAATTTAAACTTTATATGGGGTCTTTAACCATTTGATAGTGTCTTATTTAATGCTGCATTCGATAGTTGATATTTTAAATAATTTGACTTGAATAAACGTCTCAAAAGTAGACTCTACCTGAGTAGGGACAAAATATTTATCTTGCTAATCGCCAAAGTGTTATGTTCACCTCTGGCTTGTTGTTTTTTCGTTTTACTAAATATAAAGCTTACACTTACCTTGTGAAGTTTCAGTTACTGAGCCGATTGCTGTATTGCCTTCCAACTCTGAAGGTTTTATACCTCCAACTGTAACCCCGAGACGTAATTACATGTTAATTAGTGTCTTGATTGATTAGACATGTATTCATTTTCCTGACAAATTGCTCAAAAGATGAATGAGGATTTTATTACTTCACATGACGATGGAAAACTTAACTGCGAAATTCTAAGCTTTGCCCAATTCTGCCCTGTCATCTAAGAAATACCGATATCTTGATCGAGATGTCTCAATCACGAATGACTTGAAATTTGAAATTATACAAAAATGTAAACATTTTCAAATGAATGTATGATCTAGAGTGTTGTCCCACAATCTTGAAATCATAGAACACCATTTTAATGAAATACAAGAATATTTGCATTCATTGCTTACATTTCTATGTTTGTAAATTGGGTAGTTATTTATATTACTATTGTTTGTAATATCAATTCGGAAAAATATTAATTTTCTTTACAATTAAATTGACTTGGCCTAAAAATAAATCTGAATCTAAGTTAAGTCATTATGAAAAAGATGGTGGACGCAAACCATACACATACATGTATATCAATCTGATACTTATAGCATCTCTCTCTGTTGCATCGCAGATGAGAGCTCGATAAAGCTTAATTTGAGACTCGCGGAGATCGAAACCAAGTCCACATAAGACAACGGCCTATCCAGAAGGATAGAGGGATGGAGAGGGTGTGGCTTACCACGATGCGTGTTTATAGCCAAAGAAAAGTTGGAACCGGATGTACTCAGAGGAAAAATTAATAATTAAGAGAACAATATATAGATCTACAAATAAAGTTATATACAAAATAGTGAAGTGAACAGCAGATGGTATAACATTGAGATAAATTATGATAAACACCGAAAACAGCAAGGTTGCAGAAAATGCAAGCTTAAACATGTTAAATGTTATAGTAGGTGTAGAGAACACAGAAAAATAAATGGCAATTTAGCGCGATGACTAAAGAGAAGCAGTTGAGCCAAACGAAAAGAAACAGGATGTTTTACAACGAAAATAAAAAACTATCCACGAGTAGTTCGACTAAATTAATAGTCTTTTTTATAATAGGTATTTATAGAAAATATATATAAGATCCTTCACATTTTGACCCAGAAGTACCACTTTTGAATATTCATGTCATTGCGTCGGACCAATATTAGAAGTCTTATGTTATGAGTCACGATGAGAATGGGTACAGTATTCCAATGATAGCAGCTCAACGAACCTTCGCCCATGGTATCACCATTGTATCATGATAATTTAAATCTTTACTAGTACTTGGATTTTTGGGATTGTTTCTCAGTCTTTTTTCTCTAATGCTAGGACACGGCGGTCATTGCTCGTCGACATGATCATGGAATACCTACGACAGCCACTCTAGGTATTACGACAGGCGTAAGAAAAGGCATCCCCAAGGCATCCCTTTTTCTAGATCAAAGGTCGTGTGACAGCCACAAATGCAAGGTACGCCGTGTAGCTAAGATTAAGATTATAAATGCTATTTCAAAGCTAATGGCTAGTCAATATCATACGAGGGGATTACGCTTCGATATATAATTTTTTGCTTTTGTCTTTGGAGGCTAAAGATAGATTAAAGTAAGTGTTAATTCTGACTTATCTGCTTATAATATGATTGTAATTGTGTCTCATAAGCCTTTGGAGGCTGGCCGTATAATTACGGGTGACACTGTAATAAAAATAAATAAATGAATAAATAAATAAAATATAATGTGACAAGCAAAGTACATGTATTCATAGGCAACTGGTTACAAAAACATGTGTAAATTAAAGACAACGGACGGGATTGTGATTTGGCAAAATATTCAAAAAGTCGATCCCTTTAATTTTAATTTGCTCGTTTAAGTCTAGCCTCTCATATTTTGAATATTGGTTATTCCAATGACATATATCTATGAATAATATCACATAAAACCCTATATGGAGCATTTATTCGTATTGCACGTTATTGCATTTTGTGCGTTTATCTACAATAGTTTTACAAAAATAATCTTCAGCGTTCTGTTATCACGCAACTCGAATTTTATCATAACAGAGTTGGCGGAAACTAGTCGATTTTATAATGTTGTTCCCATGTTCAATAAGAAGCATGCATGTTGATATTTTTTGTTTAAATCAATTGTATCTGGTACATTATAGGGTACAGAATCCAGTATCATCCCATGGTCAACGGACATGATGATCTTCTTCCAAGTTCCAAGTCGGCATCAATCCGACTGTACCGTATTGGAATAATACTGCATGTTTCGTCCAGGGTTTAATCCCCGGGAACGTTTGTTCAAGACAGAACTATGTAAAACATCATTAATCCAATCAGTGTTAGTTGTACAGACACTTTGCGATAGGTGGCACCATTGCAATAATCGTCATCATCACAGTAACACGTGGTGACTACAGTTCCTGTAGAGGTGCTTGGGACAATGCCTCCGGTGCGCTTACAACCATTAGGATGGGCCGAGAATGCACAACCACGTGTGTAAGTGAAAATGTGACCGATGGAGGCTGAAATTACAGAATCAAATATAAACAAATTGTTTACAGCGGGGTTTACAGGAAAAAGCTGCATAACGATATTAACATATTTTGCCTCTTGAAATGTATACAAGAATCATTGATCAATTTATTTTATATTTTGTCCTACAGTTTTTTGTTTTGTTTTGCAATAGTAAAAACGATCTTGGAAACAACGTACATCCTTCTACATAGACTTCATTCTTGATCTTATAACACGTGGTCATGCAGGCACATGTGTGTTTACAGCCGCTGATCGAAGTATAGTTGAAATCATCGGCGCATCCAGGATGATAACCCAGGCCCGTTTCGGCTCCCGCATCATTACACGTAAAACAATGAAGTCCCGTTCCTGAAATCAAACACAAGTTTCATATACTGGGAATATAGAACAATTGTGTCTATTGCTCAACTGACCCCTGTCTTGAAAAGAAGAAGGGAGAAGAGAGGCAAAAAGCCCCTCGCAGGGCAAGCAATCAAAAAGAAACTTTTCGCTTATGTTTTCGATTCAATGGACTGTCGTCTGGTATCATCGCCAGGAGATCATCACCTGACTGACCTTCGACCTTCTCCGACATTGATTTTGGATCTTTGATACGCCTGATTCAAACGGATGCCCTTTCTCTAAAAGTGCCCATTCGTGCCCTATTCCTGTATGTCAGCGGTAAACCTAGCACCATGCAGGGATTCTGCAAATTATATTCCAAGGTGGTTAAAAATGGCCGTTCTTAGGACAACTTTCTTGCCTCAATGTTCTCTACTCGATTTACTCCAAAGACCTTACTACCAATTCTTATTCTGAGGCCCAGAGCCTTGTACCATGAAGCTCTCTTTTAAAGAAGTCAAACGATTGAAAAGGGTAAACAATATGATCATATAAAAAACTTCAGTCAAAAACCAAATACCATTGCGTTGGATACATGTTTAGTCTAGTTTATTATTTATTAAAGTGTCACAGGCCTATTATTTTACAGAATTGTACAAGTATTCAAAAGCTCCAAGCCAAAAATGGATTACATGACAGGGGCAGCCAATACTCTTCCAAAACCATTCCACTAAAAAAAACAAATGTGACGACCCCCCTCCCTAAAAAAACTCAATGTTATTTCCAGTACCGAACAGTACCGTTGAAGCTACGGTAATTGGTACCGGAAGGTACCGTAGACGCAAACAATACCATACGGTATCGTGAACACGACGCCGTCTTCAAATAGTATTATCACTGTTTTCAAATACGCTACGTTCAGTATCGTTTTCAGATATGTTTCAATACAATACTGTAATCTCAGAATGCAGGCCTTAAGATCCCAAACTGACCACTTTCTTCCAAACCTTTTAAATTATTATATTAGTGATATTTAACTCATGAAAGAGAACTAACAACCATGAGATAATAGTACGGCAAACTCATGTTAAGTGAAACTTACCTTCAGGAACTGAACTGAACATTATCATTACAAACATCATCAAGAGTATGTTTGAATTATTCATCGTTTGTTACATTTATAGGTCAATGGTCATCATAATGAACTATAGCATATATCCTTCCGAACTTTCGTTTACATCTCTATATGAACTTTAAAATAGCCGTTAACGAGATAGTTTTCCGCCATCTTCCAACTCCTTAAGATTGAAAGCTGAATATTATAGTTCTATTGGTTCATATATACTGGCCCGTATAGTAGATTTATAAGTGACCTTACTCGGAGATTTTATCGGCTTAATCTGGAAAAGCATACAATGGCGTATTCAAGAAAGATTACATTATAATGTACAGTATATATGATTGATTTCCCGACTTGAGTCAATAAGTATGAATTATGTAATTACCATTCAAAAGTCGGAAAATAAACAGAATCTCTTGAAAGCTCGTGGTTTTAACTGTTTATATCATCATTTGGACGTTTTTTCATATTTTAGGGAAGCTAATGATTATTCATATAGAAGTCATACAAATAATTTCGAATAACTATACTTCAACAATGACCAGATGCTTTGAAATTTATAAGCAACTCTTTTCATTACAAAAGGACAGAGGGAAGATGGAGTCACATCTAATACTAGAATTTTGGGGGTACATCAACCTTTGTCAGAAAGTGTACGTATGTAGGTCAAATAAGGTGTACACTAGGTCAACGTGACTTAGGTGTCACTCATTTCTTCATTTCATTTCTGTAATTTTCTTGAATGTTAAAAGAAAAGTTAGCGTTGCGATATCAAAACTCAAAAGACATTTCCAATTCTTTTATAGATGGAAGTATGTTTACACGATATATTTGACATTTTGTTAAGTATATGATTTAGTTTTTTGAAGTTTTTTTGAAATTATTAAGAGTAATGATTTGATAAAAGCAGTTGTCTCTGCTTGTGCATTATATAAAAGTACTGTGATATTTCTAATCGCTTCTCATAATCACAACACACGGTACCTAATATTGACTTGAGAATAAAATTGCCATCTTGGACTTTAAAGATGCTTTTTACAATGTTAATCATCGGAACCCTTACTCCAGAAATAGCTGGACATTTGAGTAAAAAATGTTTAACAGTTTCATTTTCATTAAGCTCGCAAAGCACACACGTTTTACGCACGGTGTATCACCCTCGCGACGTCTACTGTTTAAATCGTTAGTTCCAGTTAATAATTTTATCATAAGTTTTGTGCAGTCCATATAATTGGGATTATTTCTTGCAATAATCCACCAAACATTTGGTTTCAATTCTAACAAGGAACCTGCCATCATATTGAGATTATTGTACATCAGTGCTGAGAGCACAGTGCTACGAGCATGAACATTTTTGACTCTATTGTAATAGTCTCTCTAAATTTTGATTTACTTGGAAAAGCATTGAAAATCATTTCCTTCACATAGTCAGTAAGGTTATACTTCAGAACTGTTTCCCATATATAAAATGGGATTTCATGCTTTTACAGGTAACAGATGTGTACATCATTCTTATTTCATGTGATTTTATATATACAATTCATGAATAAACATAACGGCATGAACAAGACATAAATCGGTCACAATCAATCTTCGCTTGAACTGACATCCAGCCAAGCAGCCTGACTGCCATAGGACCTGGTGTGTTCTTTGCCAATTACTGGATTCACTCAATGTACATCCGTAAGTCATGGTAGGGAAAGCAAAAGACCAGTTTATCAGAATATCATGCCATTCTTTTTTCATACCTTAGAACTAAATGCATTTCTGCCGATGAAATTGAAATTAACATTCTTTGCAATATGATACTCGTATCAATATAAAGATGGCAGTCGAAATGTGCAGATCATTTTGCTGATCTTGAAACAAAACAACAAAACAATCTATTTTGACCAGTAAGGCCCACTTCCTCATAAATGGGGCCAATGTAGAACTCTCCTTAGTTTTTGTACCATTAAGATGCATGTTAAATTGACAAAGTTCAAATTAGAATTTCTCAAATCGCAGCCCATCGATTTTTAAAGAATTTCCGAGAAATACAGCAAAACATCTCTCCTTCATGTCAAAACAAATTCACGACTACCAAGCTCATCCATCTGCAGAAAATAATCCCAATTATTATATCGCTATCTAGCTAGCGACAGTATGATTGGTCAAAACCGGGTCACATGTCGTGGGATATCTGGCGATATTCAATGGCAATGCTAATCAGATAAGACAACCGTGAGATATCTAGCGATATCCCACGCTCCCGGGAATTTTCAAAGAATTTGTTTTCGTGTAAATAATTTAGTTCAGTGTAAGTCAAAATGGCGGAGAACCGAGTAGATTCGTATGTATTTCAATGTTAACCTATGACTTAATAATATTAGGGATGTTTAGCTAGACAGTGATATAATAAAACAAATATTTCACTCTATTTTCGGTGAATACCTGTAGCACTTTCACAAGGTGATATTCCACTTGCCCTTCGGGCTTCGTGGAATATCACTTGTGAAAGATGTACAGGTATTCACCTCAATAGAGTGAAATATTTGTTCAATATTTTACCGTTCACTGTTATAATCACATGTTTCCCAGCTATTCTGGGCATCATATGCCTGCAAATTAGAGTATTCTATCCAAAGATGGTGCTGTAGTATACTATTGAAGTCCCCAAACAAGTTTTTAATAGAACTACCTTCCTCATATCACGAAATAAACAAACCGACTAAGGATAGGATACTGTTTAAATCCAATTCCTCTTTCTACTCAAATAACAAATATGTGATTTCTCATTTCCTTAACGACACCATCCTGCCCCACAAGTGAAACCCCCTTTCGGTTATTACATAGAGTTATATGCAAAATGCGTATTATCGACATTCTTCGGCAAAATGGAGTCTTACTTTTGATCTTTATAATACATGTATTTCCAGTGGATTAATGCGTACCTGATCTTTCATTTGACTCCAAAAACAGCTCAAACAGACCGCAACAAAGTTCACACTAAGATTATAATAAAATATTTTTGATCCATCAATTTTTATTTGTCAAATTTTAAGCAATGCCAATGAAAGATGGCGAAGTTGTTTGCATCACATTATTCATTCATTTTTGATATAATTTTAAACCATACGCCATCTTTTAATCCAAGAGTTATTTGAAACACACAGTTTGTGAAAAGAGACAATTCACTTCTTTGGATCTCTGAGCTTGAAATGCCGTTTTCTATGCGAGTAATTTTTTTGTCACTTCACAACCCAAATTAAAGTTTTTTTTATCATACTTGATTGAGTGTGGGAGTAACATGTCTCAGATAATATTTTATCCTTTTTTCTTTAAAAATAGGAATATTGCCTGTTTAAGAAATGCCCTTTCCCTCTATGAGCTTGGTGCAACTGTTAACCCCTCCCCCTTTAGATAATTATCAAAGCCTGATCATGCATGTTTTGTTATACAGGCTGTCTAATAAATATGTTCTCCCCTCTAACTTTAACATCCACATACTGTTGCATAACTTTTTCGTCTGCAAGATATTTGAATTGTTCATTGGCACATCAAAACTAGACTTTATGGGGCAACTCCACAAGAAGTTTCAGATGACTAGCTCAACCAGATGCACTTTTATGCACACAAGTTCATACCTTTGAATTCGAAATGAAGGTGGGAGAACATATTTATGGGTGCAAATAAAGTGATTTTCCTATATACTATTGTAATCAATGAAAAAATAAGATCCAGACATTGACAGGCTGCAGGCTGATATGATATCCAATGGAAATTCTAGGTTACCTTACTTATGGAGACGAGTGGAGTGTATTGTCAACATTTCCATTTCCTTTAGGGGGCATTTCAAAAGATCAATGTCAGAAAATTAACAGTTACTGTATTTGAACAGTTAGGGTGGGGATGAGCATTAACCTTATTGAACCGACATAGAAGAATTACAAAATTTGACTGCATTACATTACGTTAATATAGTGTGACCAACGATATAACCCATATCAACATTTCTCAAACACAGTTATGAGGTGAAGGGAGGGGGTTGGTACAGATTATCTGTTCAAATACAGTTAGTAATCCATCATTGAACTTTTGAGATGCTCTCTTATTATTGGAAATAGCTATCAAAGGAAATGGAACATAATATAAACTACATACGATAAAATCCTCTTACTCTCTAAGAAGTACATTTCCTGCTATTGCAGATAATTGAAAAAATAATATTTTCATTGGATCTTGTCTTGAAATTAAACAGTATTCTTCAAAAGCTTCCGATCTTTTTATAACAAGGCTTATACGGAACGGCGTATATTGTGATATCGTAAAATAAACAGCTCACACCATCAAAGAACAGTATGGCTTACAGGCCCGTAGCCAGGGGGGGGGGGGGTTCGGGGGTTCGGGCGACCCCCCCCCTGGCCAAAATTTCTTTCAAAATCATGCAGTTTTTCACCATTCTGACCATTTTTTGTATGATTTTTGGCCAAATTTGCCAAAGTGAACCCCCCCCTAGAATTTTTGGGAAAAGTGAACCCCCCTTGGAAAATTCTGGCTACGGGCCTGGCTTACCTCGACCTATGAGCACGCAATCAAAAAAGACTAAACGTACACAAATTAAAAGAATTAAAAAGAACAGAGAGTGGTAGCAATTTTGGATGCAATCCTCAAAAAATGACTTCTTTTATCGAGGTAGAGCTCCCGGGTAGAGCTACACGTTTTTACTTGTCTAAGGAAGTGTAACATTAAGGTACCCCTAAGGATAACTGTCCCTCCCCATCTTAATTGATTTTTCCAGGCCCGTAATTGCAATTTTTCCTTATTCCTTCACACTCCGACGGGCAAGTAAATACTACAAAATGGAGGACTTATCCCCTGAGAACTATAATACAAAGTTAAACGTCCACTAAAAGTCATCTTAAAGACGTGTACAGCTTATCCTGCATATATTATTATTTTTATGTAACCACCACAAGTCGTGACATATTGTCTCGGGCATATTATTATACTGTCCAACTTTTTTTGTGAACGGTCGGCGTGCTGATATTTTGCATGTTAATGCCAAGTCTGAAAATAAAATGAAATATTTATATTATTTATTGAAAAAGGAGAAATGCCCACATTAATTTGAATAAAAATGGGACAATGTCTCTTTGCCCTTTTCAATGTTTTCTATTTCTAGCAATGAATTCAAATTTTCAAAGCTTCAATCGTTTGAAAAAATACATTGGGCATATTTTCTTAAAACTTCAAAAGGTTTTTTTGCTGACCTTTCCGAAACTACAACTTTTAAATATTTCCAGTCACATTTTCAGAGGGCTGATATCATGTTTAGGGTCATTCTGACCATTGTGATCCTGGTCATGTAAATGATATATGGAACTAGTAAAACCGAA